AGAGATTATTTTATAATTCAGTCATTCAGGGTGTTTTGCCTTGTGGTTTCACAGCATGGCTCAGCAACAGTTCAATGCAAGTTTATAAGTCAGCATGCTTTTCTGGAGACAGAGGCGAGGTTTTTAGAGACAAGTGTATGGGGAATAATACAACTGGTGATCATTAATATCCCGTTTTATCATCATGGGAAAAGGATCCTGCTGTGTAAAAGGAATAGATACAAATTGTGTTTTATGCTAGAGTTAATTCAAATGCTAAACATATATAAGCTCCCTTTTTTAAGTTCCAGGGCAAGAACACATAAAAAGCATTAAAATCTTCTTTTCTTTTTCTTGAACCAAAGTATATGTTTCCCCTAAACTACATTCAGTACTCTACTGTCGAGGACAAAAGACCCATTTTTGATCTGTCATTAATGATGCTTTAAAGCACTCTGTGAAATAATAATCCCAGTCAAGGACAGCGATACTTTTTAGTGCTGTGATATTATTTCAAAACTAGTGCCCCAGCACTGTTCTGTCTTGCAGATGTTTTATGGTGAGGACAAAAATCAGATGAGTCATATTGTCACTTGCACGGCATTAAAGAATAACGACAGAGCCAAGAGGAGCGGGAGAGGATGGTGAGACGGGGAGTGAGGGATATACATATTTTGCCATCCTTGGTGATAACATTAATGTCAAGGTGGAAGGGGGAAGGAAGACATCAAAGCTAATGAATATTTATGGATGCCCATAGTAAAGTGCTGTTTTAGAGTGAAGTGGGACAGAATGGCCTCATGAAGACAGCACTTTAGGGCCTACTCCAGCACAGACTGTGGCTCTATGAATATTCATTGCTCATTGTCCCAAAAACAATTTGCTTAACGCTTTTGACTTCTTTTCATCCGTAAAATGTGTGTATTTTTTTTTTCTTAACCTATGCATGGTTTGGACTATATCTATCCTCACTTTTGTTCGGTCTGTTACAGAAGATACTTTGATTTTTGGCACATAAATGAAACAATCCAAAAGTCTGTATTTATTGATATATAGCATAGGGCACATCGATCCCTTCAGTACAGAAAGGAAAAAAAATATATAAGAAGTCTGTCATATAGATAATTCATTATATTCATACAGCTAAGTGACATGTTTTTCACAGGGCCTGTGTCCCCTGTGCAGATTGCACAGATATTAGCTCATTCTCTGTATTTATCTTTTTATTTATTTAAGTAGGACAGTCTGTAACAGACGGGTGACAGGCTATAACCCCGTCATATGCCAGACAGCATCATCCTTGAGCAGATTTCACAAAATGCTACATTCCTTCCACCTTTCCCCCCCACTGTGCAATGCATTTGTCTCTATAGCTCGCACTAGTGCTGTTTGAAAGCTCTTTGGATCATTCATTCTGCGTGTGTG